ACATTACTGCCCGTCCGGATGCGGACAATTCAACCAATGGAGAATCCTAAAATCTAATAGAGTTGTTGTGCTGCATCAGTATCACGACGGCTCTGAGACCTTGTCTGCAGATTAAAGAAGTCATTGTTAGCAAAAGAGGAATTATCAAAATGGTATTTTCTTTGGATTAGTTAATACCATTTGAGCATTTTATACCTTACGCTTGTTCATAAAATCCGCTCCATCCGACTGATCAGCACGTTTTCGTTTGTGATCATCAGGCGCAATCTGTTGTTTAGCTTTGGGAGGGACGTTTATGTTAGCCTCTGGAAAGAGGACACTGAAAGCACGAAGCAGATCGTCGTGCTCTTTCATGAATTCCTCCACCTTTGCAATGGCACTTGCTCCATCAAATCTAGAAAGAGACAAGTAGTAACATTGGGATCAATTCACATTGTGTGCTTTTTGGTTGTGGTAGATTAGACCGGAGTTTGAAAAATAATTCATACCTGCGAGCTCTAACATCCTCGAGGACCTTGAGAAACTCTATATATTTTGCAGGTTCATCATGAAATGCTTCTTTCACTTTAGCCATGTATAACAAAGCCGCCTTATTCTTCCGTGGTACACTTGTTCCAATAATGGTTTGAAATCGGCCTAACCCTTGGTAAGCCTCGAGAGGGACGGTTATGTTAGCCTCTGGAAAGAGGACACTGAAAGCATGAAGCAGATCCACATGATCCTTCAAGAGTTCCACCACCCTTGCAAAGGTACTTGCTTCATCAACTCTACAAAGAGACAAGTACCATGTGAATCATGAATCCACATACATTGAGTGGTTTCTTGTGTAGATTAGGAGAATAAATCATACCTATGAAATTTATAATCCTCGAGGACCTTGATAAACTCTTTAAATTTTGCAGGTTCATCATGAAATGCTTCTTTCACATAAGAATACAATAGAAACGCCCAATCCTTAAATGGCTTTAGTAGTGGTACACTTCGTCCAGCCGTGGTTTGAAATTGGCCTCCTAAGCCCTTTACGTATCCAAAGAAACAAACACAGATCATTGAATCTCTACACTATCTCAAAGCTATCAACTCTTTTTCCTAAACACCAGTGAGAGATAGAGAGAGACACCAACACAATGCTACATCAATTTTCCAAATTGCTAAAACACTAATCTCATCTCTACTCAGACAGAGAAAGTAAAAATCGAACCTTTGAGACTCCAGCAGAGGAAACGGGCTTCTCATCAATCTCCTCCTTCTTCACCGGATTTAGGAGAGACCCAGATAAGGATGACTTGTTGGGTTTGTTATCATCAATCTCCTCTTTCTTCAATTTCCTCAAAGAAATACCACTGTTTGCGTTCGTGGGCTTCTTCCCAATTAAGGAACTCAAGCTCTTATCGTCTTCCTCAGCCTCCTCTTTCTTCACAGCTTTCGCATCCTCCGATGGCATCTTCTTCTTCTTCATCTACAAACAAAAGATCGAAACTTTGGCTGAAAATTTGGGGATTTGAGAAGGAATCCTCCGTCAATCGTGTCTTAATCCAAACTAAAAGGAAACTTCTGGGACGGTGTCGTTTCAACTAAAAGGAAACTTTTGGGACGGTCTCAAACCAAACCCAATTTTGGTGGTTTAAAGAAGAACCCGGTAAAATATGAAACTTTTCTGGAATCAACCAAAACCAAGACTACTTACGATTTAGAGTCTAAAATTTCCAAACAATTTCGGTTTCTGACTTCGGTTTGGTTCAAGTCTCCTGAAATTAAGAAAGTTTGCTTTTGATTTTGAAGGAGAAAGCTCACTGTTATACAATACATAATACACGAAGTTTATGAATGATCTATTCAAAATATCAAAGCCAAAACAAAAACAACGTCTCAGCTACAATTCATAATGATGATGATTATACAGAAGTTGTACTACTAGTAAGTACTAATAATTAGGTGTTGAAACAAGTACATTAAAATAATAAGATTAAAACTATAATTTTGACATAAATTATGCGTTGAAAATTCAAAATAACATTTTTTATATAACAAAATGTATGATTAAAATAACATTCTTTGTAAAACGGAGTGAACATATGTTACTTACTTCCTCAATCTCCTTCATGCATTAGTCTTGAATTTCT